ATATTATATCACCATCAGGTGGTTCTTCTTATACAATTTTTGTGGAATATGCTCCTGTAGAATAAGTCCTATCTTTTCTTCATAAATTGACCAAAAATGTGCCTTAAAAGTATACTCCTTTTGTGCTTCATATTCTTGCCTTTCAGCTAATGGAAGCTTTTCTATTCTTTCCAACCTATTTTTTCAATTTCTTCCTCTATCTCTGCTAATGTTGGAAGTCTAGCTTCTTTGGGATCATGATGCTCTTTATCCCATTTTTCAGCCTCTTCGTTAGTAATAAAATGTTTACCATTTGAATCTACAAATATTATTTTGAATTGCTTTATATTCACATAAGGCTTTAGTGTAAAGTGGAGGGCTTGCTTTTGAGCAGATCCTTTTGGGATTGCATCTTATCGCTCAACTTTACTAAGTTCTTTCTTACCAATTAATCCCTCTCTGTAAGCTTGAGTTGATGGACCAGGACCTGCTTCAGAATCAGGAGTTTGGTTAATCACTTTTGGCTTCTCCTTTTGACTAGAAGTCTCAGAAGCTAAAATTTGCTTTGGTATATCATCAGAAATTAATCTACATTGATTTTTATTACTTTTGTAATGCTGACGAAGTTTTTGAGATGTGGAAAAAGTCTTATTACAGCAAATACATTTACGATTTTTTTTATCTTTTCTAACTATGATACTAAAATAAGTCTAACCTATAATATGTATATAAACTTTTGCTTAATTTAAATTAATTAATCATATAACCCTATTATTCAATTACCTTTTCCAGTTATAAGAAATAGGGCTAAAAAGTGCCAGCCTTGTATGGAATCAGGATGTGGTAAGCCTACTGGGTCATCTTGTGGTTGTTGTCATCTTCATATTAGGGGTTATTATATGATTTAATATGTTAATAGACTTCGGGATAAGGCCCTGATGTTTGATATGTGTTCAAGAGGTTAGACTTTTAGTAAAAGATAAATTTATTATATAGTTAGTTGAGAGGTTAGACATTTTTTGTGGTTAGATTTTACATATAGGTATATGAAAGATTAGACTTTTTTGTCTTAGGTTTGTGTAAAAGAAATGGCTCTAGAATGGTTTTCTGTATATTTATAAATTAATAACATACTAGAACATAATCATTAAGCTTTTGATTTGTAAACTAGATAACAGCTAAATATAACCTCTTCGAGGTTAGACTTAGCATATGGTATACATTTTAGGCTTGTATGGTCAGGCCCAGCTCAAATTACGTCACTTTGTTCCTTGATTTTCGATAGCCCCTCCTGAAGCAAATAGAATAGTAAAATTTTTTTGAAATATTATTTGGAATTAAAATTAGGCTAGAATGGTTAAATCAAATATTGTAATTCTTGGTATTAAATAGGTTAATTCCTAGTCAAGTTCAATATCATCATCTAAAATTGAGTCAAAATGCACTAGAGGTTTGAATTTGATAATTGATTCATATAGCTAAAATGGATTCGTGAGCGGTCAGAAATCTTTTCTGAGTACTATTTTGAATTTGTCCCAGAAACCCTATTTTTGCCTTACTAAAATTGATGAATTAAGAGCAAATAAATTGTTAATTTATGTAAGTTAATTAATTAAAAAAACACATATTCTTAACTATAATATTAGAAATATTAGAGATACAGAAAGAACAAAGTTCTTAGATAAAGTAATGCTAAACATAGCTATTATATCTTAAATAGCAGAAATTATACTAGTAATTTATAATTTAAAGTAGACTGATTATTGTATTTTATTATAATATTATATATATTAATAATAATAACAATATATTATTATTTTAGCAAAATTTTATTACAATAAAATTATTACAATATTGCATTATAATAGATATTTTCATTTTATTATAATATAAAATTTTTATTATAATAAATACTATTAAAATAATTCTTTTTATTATATATTTTTATTATCATAATAAAATAAAAATTTATCAAAATGAAATAAATATAAATTTATTATAAACATCATTAAATGTTATTAAATTTATTGATGAAATATTTTGTATTAATTATTTTTATATAATTTCTAATTTATTAATATATTTATTACATTTTATTATTCTTTTGAAAATATTTACAATAGAAAAGTTAACGAAATTTTACAAATTCACCAAAGTAATATGCCTTATAAATAATTTGTATAAGAAAAGTATACACAAATAATATATTTAAAAAACATATAATAAACGTAGAAAAATAGTATAATAAATTTGGAAATATTTTTGTTTATTAGATACTGAAAATTGTCTTTTTCAATATGCAGAAAAATACAGAATGTATCCTTATAAATAATATGTATAAGGAAAGTATACAGAAATATTACATTTAAATAATGTATAATAAACGTAGAAAAACAGTATAATAAATTCGTAAATATTTCTGTATACTAGATACTGAAAATCGTCTTTTTC